GTATATGAGCGCTTGCGTCTGTACTGTGTTAAAAAAACAAATATACCTTATACTATAAAGGAACAGAGGAAGTATTAGGGAAGGAGTATGTCTAAATTTATTGTTCCTTCGCAATGCACGGACGTTATCATTAGTTTAAATCCGATATAAATCTGGGTACCGATCCTTGCCTAAAATCTCGGTGCCAAGTGGGACGGCAGTTTCCGAGTCCACCTCGACGCCGCCGCCGTCGCAAACCATAAAAAACACCCTCCACTACCCACCCCAAGTCCCCAAACACCACCTCTCCGGTCTCCGACGGCGAGGCGCAGGGGTTAGCAGGGGGTTGTCGGGGGCGGCGATGGGGGAGTACGCGGCGGCCAAGACGGCGGTGTGGTGGGACATCGAGAATTGCGCCGTCCCCCGCAACTGCGACCCCCACCTCATCGTCCAGAACATGAGCTCCGCCCTCGCCACCGCCGGCTACGTCGGCCCCATCTCCGTCTCCGCCTACGGCGACACCAGCGGCATCGCCCACAACGTCCAGCACGCCCTCTCCAGCACCGGCGTCTCCCTCCACCACGTCCCCGCCGGTACGGTCCCCCCTCCGTCCCCTCGCCCCTCTTTCTCCCAAATCCCCAACCACCCCGCTCTGCTCTTCTTATTCAATCGCTCTTGCCGTGGTGGTCCGTTCACCTCTCGCCAATGCATGTGGGTTGCGCCGCTTCGATGGTTGGTATACTCGATGGATCTGTCGCAAATACTTCAGGACGATAGTGGAATCATAGGGTTTGGATCGGGATATGATACGGGAAGTTCTTGTAGTCGTGTGTTCTTTCTTTCGATTTCTTCTATTAGTATAAACTAACTTGTTTCTACCCAAGGTGCAGTGGTCTAGAAAAAGGAGAGACATGTCTGTCTTATTCTGTCGACCTTGAATTCTTGCTGTGCTATTGTGGGCATCAATGGCGAATCTTCTATTGCAGGCTTTTTCTGGAGTTATGATAGTCCACGCCTCAAAATCCATATCTGTCTCATGGGATACTTGCTAGAAAACTCCATCCTGAATTTCCGATTTTATTAGAGAATATATGCAACTGGTTATTGCTCGGAACAATGTATATTTCGTTGTTATGTGTGTGCAGGCTAAACTTTTGTAATAACCTGCCCTTGGTATATTAGTAAATTACTTAGATTGGGCATTAGAAAATCCGAGACCAGCATTGGCAAATTACTTAGATAGGGCATTAGAAAATCAGAGACCAGCATTGGTTTTCGCTCAATGGAATACATTTCAAAGTGACTAGTGTATAGCTGAAAAGTGGATTCGGCTTTTATGTGACTCGGAAACTAGATTTTAGTTTATCTTGGGATTTATCTTGACATCCAAATAATTAAGGCCATAAAGGTTTATTACTAGCATTGAGACTGTTTACTCTTATACTAAGAAGTAGTGAGAGAAAGCTGGGTTCTTCATTGAATGAGTGAGTTGTGATGATTAGTTACCATTCTCATCTCTCAGATCCTTATTTCTTTTCATTGTTTTCCGACCATTGCAGGCATTAAAGATGCAAGTGATAAGAAGATCTTGGTTGACATGCTGTTCTGGGCTATTGACAACCCTCCGCCAGCGAATTATTTGCTAATCTCTGGTGATCGGGATTTCTCTAATGCCCTTCATAAGCTTAAGATGAGGCGGTACAATATTCTTTTAGCACAACCTCCAAATGTGTCTCAAACGCTTACTGCTGCGGCAAAGAGTGTTTGGCTCTGGAGAAGCCTTGTGGCTGGAGAACCACCATTAGCAGTCTCACCATACATAAGCAGCGCATCAAGTGGCAATAAGGATAATTTGGATACGTCAAGGAACACTGTTCCAAATTCTTCAGCCGCGGCTCGAGATACTAACCCTCAAGTGCAGAATCCTTCTCAGCATGATTATCAAAATGGTGGTAATGGTAAGGTAGATAAGCAACCCAAAGTGAAGCAACCTCGGAAAAATCAGACAGATAATGCATCTAAACCAGCAGGCAAAAAGGAAAACTCAGTTGATGGAGTCGCTGATAATTCCAAAGGAAGCACTGCTAGCCAACCAAGTCAGCCTTCTACACCATCATCAAGTTCTTCATCAAGTCCTGAACCCCAGAGTAGGTCTAAGGTGAACCAGACAAGTATACCTAAAAACCCACCCCTTTTCCTGCCTAAAAAGCCTGCAAAACCCACTAATTCCCATCAAAAGAGTGTTCCTCATGACTATTTTGGTAGTAAGAAGTCTGGTGTGTCAACTGAATCTGCACCGAAAAATGGTGCTCCTGATTCTGGCCATGGTAGTGGCCATAATCATCCAAAACACCATAACCAATCCTCTCAGCCGCCAAAACCACATAATCCAGTGACTCCTCGTCCTCACAATGGACCTGGTAATTTTCACACATCAAATTTACATAGAAGTAGTTCATGTCCACCACAAGCTCCACAAGCTGGGCATACTGGTGTTCCCACTGCACCACTGCAGTCCTGGCCAAGTGCTCCTCCTCCCCCCTATCATGTCCCGCCAGTTAATTATCCTGATATGAGTCGGCTGAATATTTCTGGATACCCCATAGGGGCTCATGACAACCAAGGTTCAAACGTTAGCTACCATCCAAACTATTCTGGTGCTGTTCAGCCTCCTTACAATAATTATAGTTACAGACATCCAACTCCACCTAATATATCCAGCAACATGCAGAATGCTGGACAATGGGGTGCAAACACTGGATGTCCGCAGCCATCTTCTGACTCTCAAATTCTTATAAGAAATATCTTAAGTGCTTTGGAAGTACTGAAGACTGAGAAGCTTGCACCAACCGAACAGCATATATCAGATTGCGTACGTTATGGAGGTGCTAATCTACCACAATTTGATGTTAAGAAGGCTCTTGAAGTTGCTATTCAGCATCAAGCTATCGTAACGAAAAAGTTAGGACTTGTGTCATTCTTTCTGGGAAAAGATGAAAATCTCTGGAAATGCGTGAATATAATGGATAACAATGCTAGGCACTCAAAAGAGACTCTAGATACTGTTCATAGGTACATATCTACTGCCCCTGGATGTTCTGCGATAAAGAACTCTCAATCAAGGTGAGATCCCACACCCAGTAATATGTGTTGATTATTTCTGTATTTTTCTTGACTTTGTGGTTAAAAGCATTTTAATTTTTATTTGTTTCTAGGTATCACGCTGCAACTCTGTTGAAGAAAACATGCTTGAAACGTCTTTCCCTTGGCGAAGTTCTTCAGGTTTTGTATATCGCAACCGATAAAATGAAGTGGTTTGTTCCTCACTCTTCAGGCTGGCAGCCTCTCTCATGGAACGTGATAGTGGCTGATACTGCTCCAGATGCTAGTGGAAAATCCTAGCCTGGCTACATTTCTCTTCTCACATTGGATGGACAATTTGAGTTCTGGTAGTTGGTACAAACTCTTGAAAGGCTGTGGTCTGGTGAGGTTAGAACTAATATGGTGGCCCAGTCTACATTTTGCCAGTATTTCCGTTTCAGAATGATGTCGCGGGTAGTTTAAACTTGGTGTATGAGCTCTGGTTTCACTATTGTAGAATGGTACTTCTGTCAGTTAGTTGGTTTTTGCAATTCGAAGACACGGAGGGATACAGAAGGTTCATGATCTTTTGTTCAGGTAGTGCAACAATGCCTGATTTTAGAGGTTATGATCTGTTCTTCCCCAAGTGGGCATAAGGAGTTGATTTCGAGCTAGCCTGCCGTGTTGGCTCCTGAAGCTGTTGCTATTCAAGGTGTTCAACGAAGCACCGGCATAGAAGCTCACTTGTAAGTCTTAAAATGCATGGATTGTTAATCAAAAGCTACCATTGCTATGGCTCCTGGCACATGGCAATAGCCTGAAGATTGCATTTGAAATATGCCTTCAGCATAGTTTGCCTTGCCAAACCTGTCATGCTGTGTGTAGATACTGGCCCGGTGCTTGCCAAACTTGTCATTTGAAATGCCTTAAGCATAGTTAACTCCATGGCATCCTTTTGTTGCCTTTCCCTGCTGAGGAAAGGTTGGGAGTCATCCCGTACATTGGGGGTGTCTTGTAATAACCATGATGACAATTACATTCTGTGGTCAATGTAAATTATCTTAAGTTCTTGCTTTTGCTAGTGATGCTGGGTATCATGTTGATGTTGTGAATTGCATTGCGTGTGATGATTGACACCTTGTTCACGCCTTTTATAACGAGCTGTGGGTAGCTGACACTAGGCCAACTTTTATGTTCATCGTGCATGTAAAAAGATACCAAAATGGTTTCAACATGACAAACTTTTCGACGATTTGTACCCATGTGTAGATTGCTCTGCCCTCTACTAAACTGATTTTCAGCATGTAGTAAGGGCTGTCCATGAATGAAGAAATTATAAGTAGGAACTATGGTCTGAATGGATCTCCGAACTCACAATATACGAACATGCAAACAAACGGGAGTTGCGTTTCGGCTCCCAGAAGCATATGCTCCTGGGGTGAACAAAAACTAACAAATAGGAAACAAACTGAAAAAAAAACTATTTTGTGTATGTTCAACATTAGTGTTTTTTCACACAAAAAGGAACAGTTGTGTTTCGTCAGGCAAAAAAGACAAAAATACAGTGCTCTAGAAATGCCAAAAATTGGCACTCAATTATTAGTTTTTGTACAGGTTGCAATGCTTGGGCTTTCACCATAAAAATTTGCAAATTACATTTGAAAATGAACATTTAAATGTCTGAATTGTCTTGTATATTTTCACATTTGTAAATGTATTTTTGGCGCGCAGGAGCATATGCTCCCTAGAGCTAAATTGAACATCTACAAAGCATGTGTCTTTTCTTTGAAATCACAAGGGTGCCTTTATTCAGTGCAGAGATTGTTTTGCATCTCAAATTGCAACATGCAGATCTTCTCTTTACTCCCTCCGATCCATATGTGTATGGATCGGAGGGAGTAGCTTATATATATGGATATGGACAGTACAATGGATTTCCATTATGGAAGAAAAGGGTTCTGAGAGGAACACACATCCTTTTGCCGCTGGTATGCCCTTCATGAAACCAAAATGGATTTCTCAATCAGCAATGATTGTAGATCTTGATGTTTTCTCTTGAAAAAAAAGTGTAAGTATGGTTACCTCGAAGCGCTGTAGGAACCAAAGGAAACTGCGGCACAAATTATGAGCAGAAAGGGGGCTTTAATCAATATCTTGTTTGATCTTCTGTATCCCGTTGGAACACCAGACCTCATTACATGTACTGCATTTCACGCATGATCATCTCATCAGCTACAAAGATGGAGGAAACAACAAATCTGCATTCTGAAACCAAATTTACCTTCCATTCTGTTCCCAAATCTTCGACCTGCAAACCGCAATGAGCATACCATAATCCCATCAGTCAAACCAATTGCAACTCAGGTGCGAAATGATAAAGGAAAAACAAAGGCTGGTTATCAAAGTGAACAGGGAACATACCATCCTTCAAACAAGAATATGCTTCTACTATCTGCAAAACACAAACACGATTAAGCTTTGATTACAATTGTCGGAAAGAAATCAAATTCAGGAAATTGATTGCGATCCTCGTACGGAAAACCACATTCAAATTTAACATTCACTCAACTGGAAAAAGTGTTAGCACATTCAAATTTCACTAAATCTCTTGGATGCCCGGGAATGCCAAATATATGTCCATAAGCTGAACAGTTCACGTAAAGCTCAGGAACTACATTAAGATCAAGGACGCTGATAACTGCCACACGTGTGGCATATACGACATGCACCCACACACCGTGTGTGGTGTGAGTAGGAGGCAGCCCACACGGGCTGTGTGTGGGCGGACATTAGAATTGCTCATACGTGTGGGCGCGGCTACTTCGTGCCACACGTCCAACAAATACTACTCATCTTCACCCCGTGCGTGTGGCACGAAACAAAAATGCCCACACGTCCTGACACAGCTACGTTTGGTACCTCGCGGGATGACGATTTAGTTGCCATCCTGGTTGGCAGATGTAGTTATTTGGGATGGCAAGTGTAGTTGTAAAAGCATGGCAACTCTATCTGTTTTGGTTAACTATAGTTGACATGTCTAATTTATAGTAGTTGTCGCGTGTAATCAAACCGTAGTTGCCGTGTGTGATTAACTACTTGCCACATATGGTCAAAACAGTAGTTACCATGTGTGTTTACCTAGTTGTCACGTGTGGTCCAACCATAGTTGCCATGTATTGTTAATCACAGTGTCCATGTATGTTTATCTGGTTGCCACGTACGCGCAACTGCAGTTGCCGTGTAGCAAAGAATCACAGTTGCCATGTGTGTGTACCGAGTTGCCACGTTCACGTAACTGCAGTTGCCGTGTAGCAAAGAATCACAGTTGCTATGTGTGTGTACCGAGTTGACACGTTCGCGTAACTGCAGTTGCCGTGTAGTAAAGAATCACAGTTGCCATGTGTGTGTACCGAGTTGCCACGTTCGCGTAAGTGCAGTTGCCATCCACAAGGTAGGAGTGTCGTGTGGGCGAAAAGCAGTTCGCCCACACGCGCATGACCTAGATGGTGGCTGTGTGGGCGAAAAGCAGTTCGCCCACACAACGCAGGTGGCAAACAGCGTGGTGCGGGCGTGTGGGCAAAATCTCCAACGCCCACACACCAGCCCCGTCCTACGTGGCACACCAAATCCACCTTTTCGTGTCAAGATTCATGCAAAAGACAGTGAACGGCGATCCGGACGTGTGGGCGAGTTGGGTAACGCCCACACGTGTGGGCGTTAGTGTTTTCGTAAGATCAAACCTATGCTCATTTTGATATCAACGATTTACTTGTGGAAGAGCAATTAGCATGGTGACTCCAAAAGCTATACAAGCATTCTAAAGCTCAGCAAGTACATTAAGATCACATCTATGCTCATTTTGACATCAGCGATTCAATTATGAATGAGCAATTAGCATGATATAAAGGTTGCTTCAAAAATTAGCATAATCAAGCTAAATACTCGTCTAATTGACTTTCATGCCTGAATAACACCATGAACAAGGAACACGCAAATAACAAACATCATGATGCCTGAAGTTCTTCACCATGACTGTTTTGTACCTGACCTGCTTGAATTTTGACTCTGCTTGAGGCTTCTGATGTGTCGGTACACGATCGGGATGGGACTCCATGACCATTCTTCTATACGCAGCCTTCACCTGGAACAGAAGATTCAGAGCATATGTAAACTCAAATTTCGGAGATTGGCACCCACGTTTCACCAAAATCCAGCAGAAATAGCTAACAGATTAGCTCGTCGGAGCAAGATCTAGCCAGATAAAGCTAGACTATCATCCTGAGATGACCGCCGGTTGGATATTCGCAGGGGGAGCAAAGACAGGGAGGAAGGGGGGCGGAATTGGGGAGATGGATACCTCGGAAGGGGACGGCCGGGAGTAGGGAGCGAAGCCCAGGAGCTCCATGGCCTCGCTGCTCCTCATCTCTGATCTCTCCCCCTTGCTTCCTCGTGCGATCGCGCCGGACAAACACTGATCGGCGGCAGCGGCGACGACGGCGGGGCGGCTGGCCGGTCAGGTTGGTCGCGGTAGGGGGTAGGCGCAGCGCTCGAACGAAGCAGGAGCAGCCACGGCCGCTCCACGTATTTGCGACGCGCGGCAGGCCTCGCTGGCAGCTTCCTGGCCGCCAGATCCAGGATCCGCCGATCGCACGGCCGAGACGAGCTCACCGAGCCGTCACAGCGTGCTGCTCGTGCACCCGCCGAACTCGAACGCTTCAAGCAAGCTCTCGGCGATGCGCGCGCGAGGGGGCGGCGCGGCCGCGCCGCGGCCGGAGCACCTGGCGGCGCACGCGCGGCTCGTCAAGTCGGCGGACGCGGACCCGTTCGTCGTCAGCACCGTCATGCGCACCTACCTCCGCTCCTCGCTCCCGCTGCAGGCCCTGCTCGTCCTCCGCGGCCTCCTCCCGCGCGCGCCCCGCCTCCTCGCCAACTCCTTCTCCCTCTCCCTCGCCCTCCAGGCCTGCGCCGCCTCCGCCGCGCTCGCCTCGTCCGCCGCGACCCGGCCGCTCGGCGCCTCGCTCCACGCTCGCGCGGTCAGGTCCGGCTTCGCCGCCGCCGACCTCTTCGTGCGCACCGCGCTCGTCGAGATGTACGCCAAGTCGGGCCGCGCGGAGCTCGCGCGCGCCGCGTTCGACGAGGCGCCCCGCCGGGACGTGTTCCTCTGCAACGTCATGCTCGCGGCCTACGTCGCGCGCGGCGAGGTCGCGGAGGCGAGGAGGGTGTTCGACGGAATGCGGGACAGGGACCTGGTGTCCTGGAACACGATGATCCACGGGTACGCCGTGAGAGGGGACGTCGGCATGGCGAGGGAGATATTCGACGCGACGAGCGACAGGGACGCCTTCTCGTGGAGCTCGATGATCTCCGCGTACGCCAAGGGCCGTCGGTCCAAGGAGGCGCTGGAGCTGTGGAAGGTGATGCGAGCGGCACGTGTCGCTCCAGACTGCATCACCATGGTGAGCGTGCTCTCGGCATGCAGCGACATGGGGGCGCTGACCATTGGCGCAGAGGTACACCAGTTTGTCGAGAGCCACAGGGTTGAGGTAGACATGAAGCTGGGTACTGCTCTGGTTGACATGTATGCCAAGTGCGGCGACATTGAGAATTCTCTGAAGGTGTTCCGCGCTATGCCTGTGATGGATGTGCTTACTTGGAGTTCAATGATCATCGGACTGGCCAATCACGGACTTGGCCATGATGCTCTAAGTTTGTTCTCAGAGATGATATCACAAGGACTGCAACCAAATGAGATCACCTTCGTTGGAGTTCTTATGGCGTGCACTCATGTTGGTCTAGTGAGTGATGGCAAGAAGTATTTCAGCTCAATGACTGACGTTCACGGTGTGGTGCCAAGGGTCGAGCACTACGGATGCATGGTCGATCTTTTGGGTCGTGCAGGCCATGTTGAGGAGGCAATGCAGCTTATCAGGAGCATGCCTTTTGAGCCTGATGCAATTATTTGGAGAACACTTCTTGGCGCCTGTCGCATCCATAAGAATGTGGAGATTGCAGAGGAAGCTATGGCCAAATTGAAAGTATTGGATCCTCTTGCAGATGGACACTATGTGTTGCTGTCAAACATATATGCACAAGCAAACTCATGGGAAGGTGTTGCAGAAATGAGAAAGACGATCAAGAGGGAGAACATTCAGAGGGTTCCGGGAAGAAGTTCGATCGAATGGGAGAACACAGTTCACGAGTTTGTTTCCGGTGATAGATCGCATCCGAGGATCGAGGAGATCTACAAAATGTTGGAAAAGATGATTGGCCGGTTAACACAAGCAGGATATAGGCCAATGACAAGCTTGGTATTGCAAGATATTGATGAGCAGTCTAAGAAGCGGGCACTGGCTGAACATAGCGAGAAGCTGGCCATTGCTTTTGGGCTGCTGACCACCCCTCCAGGGTCAACTCTTCGAATAACAAAGAACCTCAGAGCTTGTGAAGACTGCCATTCAGCGATTAAGCTTATATCCTTGGTATATGGTCGCAAGTTGATTGTTAGAGACCGGAATCGTTTCCACCATTTTAGTGAAGGGCAGTGCTCATGTAAGGATTACTGGTAAACTTAGAACCTTCTGTACCAGAAAAAGTTTTGGTGTAGCAATTGTTTGTCCGTACCCTGCTAGCATTCTGAAGTTTAAGGTTGCTAGATATTCTTATACTTGAGCATGCATCTGAAAGAACTGCACTAGAAGAACAATCTTCTACAGTATCATATATTATATTCTTCCGAAAGTCATGGAAGTCATTTAGAAGCTGAAGGATTTGGACAGAAGATGTGCCTTCCAGTATACATCAAACTTAAGAGGGGAAACAAAGAACAGGTAATTCTTATATGCACACTTCAACTGTTTACATAACATTTCATACATAATCAGTAGCAAATCTGCCCAAAGTAATAAAAATAAAACTATCATGAACCATCCAAGAGAAATCTTTTTTTCCTCGGCTGGTCAATATTTGGTATTTGAATGGTGTAACTTGTATATCTACAACTTGGTTTTACAAAAATGTGTCATACATGGTACCTAGTGGTGGCCTGGTGGGTCCTCTTGTTTAAAAGGGAGGATCCTTTTACCTAGTAGGCTCTTTTGCTAGAAAAAGGTAGGGGGCCGTTTTATCAAAAGCTACTATTAAATCGATAAAGCTCTTGTCTTATGGAGTCGTTCTTCAGAAGTTGCTGGCTTTTGCATATTCCCAAGTCGTCTGAGAGCGTTGCACACAGCTGCAGCAAGAATGTCATAGGTTATAAATTGTGATTTGGATGTTATGCTGTGACCGAAATGATCAAGAAATAAACAAATTATTTAATACGGACTCAGCAAGGGAAGTAACTCTACCTGTCTGTATAGGGAGCAGTCTCCACATGACCTTTTTAGCTCAACAACATAAAGAGATTCATTGATCTCAAACACCTGGAATCACAGCGCAACTATGTTAAGTTGCAGCAATGCTGTCTAACAGGAACACAATGCACCATGAAATGGAAGCTGTATTGGATAGTTACTTCTTCTTTTTTGCATTAATCTGTATTTTTAACTGTGACATATTCAATATGATAAAAGTACCTCAGCAGAAATTAATAATGATCCATGCCCTCTTGGATTTGTTGGTCCCTTGCGCTCTTGGATCACTTTTAGCTGTAGAACATGATAATATAGCTGTCAACATCACTGACTGAAGAAAACAAAGTTTGTACACAATCCATTGAAACAATTGAGTTTTAACATCATGCAGTTATTAGCCCATAGACACATCTGAGGTCTCTAACCTTGCCATTGTTCTTCTGTACTTGGAAGCCCATATTTATGACATTGCTCTCTATCTTCTCAAATAGATAAGTAGGGGGATAGTTTGATGCAAATCTGGTTTTTCTTTCTGAGACATCCTGCAACGAAGTCACACATCTGAGTTTAGTGGAGGGTCACTACTACAATGAAGGGCATTTATAACCCCATAATATTGGCATAGCAGATGTGCAGTGAGGACATGTACATAATTAGGACAACAATCAGTGGCGTTGTCAGTCACTGGTTCCTGTCTGCTATTATTTTCTTACATTGCGTAACATGTTTGTTGTTTGCTGTACTTATTATCTCAGGTGTGGCCCTTCCAAGTTAGATCCTGTTAGATGTATGGGTTTGGATTGTATCTAGCTTAGATAGACCCTTTGGTAGTAATTTTGAGGAAGTAAAATGCATGAGCATACACTAACAAATGAGATGAAGAAACAAATATTGGACTCACTTCTTTCTCAAAAAACCCAGATAAATCAAGGCACGAGGACATTCCGATGAGTTGAAAAGCATTCATCTGGTTGATTGCGGGGTTGTCTGGAATGCCATTGTGCTTCAAAAAAACCAGATGAAGTTCAGTCTTTGTCACTCAGTTAAAATTTAAAACCATGTGATTATACAGCAAATATCAGTGCACATCACATAGGCTACCTTGGTCATGTGGGAGTTGTCATCACCAACGTAATTATCGTCATCATCATCAAAAGGCACTGCTGGAGTATAACTTTGATTGAACCAATCGTGCTCCCTTAGTCCGTCCATGCCAAGGCGGGTAATGGGGTTCGGATCCAGGAGTTTTCGCAGTATATCTTGGGCTCCTGGCGAAAGCCATTTAGGAATACGATAATCCCCTTTCAGAATCTGAGAATAATATAACACTGTGAGATATGGCCGCAGCAAAAAAAAAAGAGCACATTTTGCTAGCGTGGGCCTCGATTCTTTGCTTCATACCTTCTGATAAAGGACAACCATATTTTCGTCATCGAACGGAAGATTCCCTGTAAGCATCACATAGAGGATAACACCACAGGACCATACATCTGACATGGAGCCATCATAACCTTTGTTGAGAAGGACCTACACACATACACCACTATCAGAAATTCCATCCTTCTTATGGAGTAAACAGAAGAATCATGAACCAGTATTAGGTTCAGAGCCAGAGGAAATAATGCCTAGTCCTTACCTCAGGGGCTATGTAGTTAGGGCTGCCACATGTGGTATGCAGTAATCCATCTTTCTGAAAATGGGGCTTTGTTTTAGACACCAGGGGAATGATTCAGCTACCCAAAAGGAAAAATACCATACCCGTTGATGCTGTGGAAGGGCACTTAGTCCAAAATCAGAGACCTTTATGTTCCCTTTCGCATCAACCAGGACATTCTCGGGCTACAGAAGGTGCGGAAGAATGTCAGGTCTTAATCACGTATCCATTCATAGTTCGGAATCAAAAGGTGGAAACTCTCAGTAGTTACTTACCTTAAGGTCCCTATGATAAACCCCCCTCTCGTGGCAATAGCTTACAGCGTCCATTAGCTGCTGGAACAGTTTCCTCCCTTCCTTCTCCGGCAGCTTGCCCTTTAGTGCCTGTCATGCATTAGGGAGTGTTAGACATAGACGCATC